GTAAAAATCATCCGATCCAATCCCTTCGGTTTAATTATGTAATCATCCATTCGATTTGAATTTTTTTTCAAATTCGATTCGATCCAATCCAATTTTATTCGGTTTGGATTGAATCGGTTTTCGATTTTTTAAAAAGCCTAAGATTTGTATGCTGATTATTTGGCAAATAACATATCTTTTATATGTATTGGCTTTGTAAAGTTTGTATGATGTTTATTGTGCAATCTAGAAGTATTGTACAACAAAAAGTTAAATTATCATCTTTTACTTTCAACAAAAAATTTATAATATGGTTGTCTGAGATATGAAGTGACCCAAATTTTCATCCTATAGAGGAGCTACTGTGCAACAATAACCTATGTAATAAAAATATATTATGTATCTTACAAAAAAAAAAAAAAAAAATATAGATCAAGCACAACCCACTTTCTTCAACATGATGGGTTAATGTGTCTTGAATTTAGAATTTTGATATATGATTTTTAGGCTATTATTGGGAAAGGCCAAAGTAAGTAGATGGTAAGGTTGAGGAATAATTGGATTAGTTTGGATTGGATCGGTTTTCACCAACACATCCAAAATCCGATCAAATCCAATTAAATTTTGCGAGTTTTTTTTCGGTTTTTAGTTTTTCGGTTTTTGATTAATTCGGTTTTCGGTTTTTCGGTTCAGTCATCGCAGTTTGAATCGGTTGATAAACACCAAATGATAGAGACCCATGAGATCACCACCCCAAAATATATACACCTTTTGGCGTAAAATGTGTTTTAATACAAAACCCTTACTCGACACTTTATTGAATAAGTGAGTTACTCGAGTAAGTTTCGGTCAACAGGTCAAATTGAGACTGATTGATATATAATCAAGGGAGAGGGACTAATTGATAAAAATATTTAAAAATGAATGCAAAATGATCAATAAACCCTGTTAATCAGAATCTCATATTTTAGTTCCTTATTAATCAACAAATACATCGTAGGTGCTAGGTAAGCTTCGTGGACTTAATTGTAACTTTCTATACCTAGGATATAAATAAAATTGCATTTTTTATCTACAATGTCAACAAAGTTGTTCAAGTTATTGTAGGTCAGATCACGCCTGTGAAATTGGTTAACCTCGTGAAATTATAGTGTTTAACCATCATTTTCATTAAAATTATTAAATTGGAAGACTCCAAATGAGAGATTGTAGATTTCGTGCAGGTGCTAAATCTGTAATTAAACACTCGTATAAAATTATATCCTCCCATTAAAGGATATAGAAATAGATAACAGTCATTCACATTAGATGTTCTTTCAGGCGTTTTATCAAATAACCAGACAAGATTCCCAAATTTGGTTGCTCATAACCCAACTCATATTATCATGGTTAATCTTCCAGCATTGAACAATGCTAACCTTTCATTCCAATAACAAAGAATTCCAACCAAAATAAAAGTTTGCATTTACACGTGCAATGCTAAGAAATTTCTTGTTCCCCTCTAGTCATAACATGCTTTTAAAATTGTTTAACCCAGCATAAAGTGCTTGTTCATTATTTTCAATGAAATTAATTTAAAGGGGTAGACCCCAAATGACATAAAATATAGCCAATACAGCCGGTAAGGTTGCAGCTAACTAGACATTACTAGAAAATTATTTCCAAACCATTAAAGAAGGTGAGGAAACAAACAAATCATCACATATTCCATCTTCTTCTGCAGAGTTAATCACTTCTATTATAAGCACTTGCTCTAGAATGGAGAAGAGACAAGTGGGACCCTGTAACATGCTACATGAACAATGATGAACTTTGAATTTTGGCATGTAATGGATATCAAACCACTAACCAAACAACAACTACGTAGGGCCCCCGCACCCGTATGGACGTCTCTATCCATCAATATTTTTGGAACATAAAAAGTCTTTTCTAATTTTAGTGTATGATCTTTTAGTCTATGTTTCTATGCAATCGAACCGAACTTATGTGGCTAGAAATTGGGTTTGGATATTACCTAACCCAAATTTGGGAGATTACTATCCCCATGATTATGAACACAATTACACAAAGGCATCTATTAACTACTGAGCGTGGTTCACTGCTTCCTTTTCCGTACGGAAAATGCTCTCAAACACATCCATCAATGACTACAATCTCTCGCGTCCATTTATATGACAGAATTACATTAAACGAGTGCAAAAAATTGACGCGACCAAATATAATTAAATGGTAAAACTTGATTATATATATGAGGTAATAATATATATAATGTTAATTATTTTACATCGATATAAGTTATATTTTCAATCTTGAATATTGATTTTATTTATATCTAATAATTATAATTTATTAAATATTTACACTTTTAAATTTAAGCAAATCAATGAGCTTTATAAAAGCTTGGTTTTTGTAGCTCATATACATAGTACAGAAAAATGCTAATTTCCCAATACCATATTCTTACATCTGCCTACATCACAGAATTATAGAAAATGAAATAGATTTAGATATAATTAAATAATGTAAAGTATATAAATCTTAAATGATGGGTGTAAGTATACGTGTATAACATTCCTGTGTAGGAAAGCAATTTGGTGCCTTTATTTATTATTTTATTTACAGAGATAAGACAAGCGTACAAGGTTTAACTTGACCCAGTCATTTATTTTTCGTTTGGGTATTCATAAAGCAACACATAAGTCAAAAGCTGTATCTTTCAACCTATCTGAGACGTTAATTAAGTGCGAAGATATTTTGTTAAAAAAAAAAAAAAGTGCCAAGATATTTATATGTATCCGTTTGGATAGGCTTTTTTATAGCCAAAAATTACTTCTTCTTCTTTTTTGTTATAAAAATATTCTTACTATAAAAAATAAAAATAAGAGGAAAATAAAATAAAAAAGTGAATGTCTGTTTAAAAAATAAATAAATAAAAAGTCAAAAGTCTTTTTTTGAAAGCCAATAATTTTAGCTTCTATAAAAAATAAAAGCAAAAAAAAAAATTATTTTTAAAAAATTAAAATAACTTTAATTTTTGTAAAACATATTTCTAAAATCCAAACGTTCTAATTGTGATTGATCCAAAGGTGAAAGATCTAATTATGATTGATCCAAATGAGAAAGATCCTAAAAAAAAATGATATAATTTAATACATGAACTAATTACCTTCTCAACTACCCTTCAGCAGCCACTCCACCTGGCACATATATGGGTCACCCATGTATGGTAAGACCTTTGTCATATCTTATTGGAAAATGAAAGTACCTAATTAATATGGTTATTTATTTTACCAAAATAATATTTTTAAATAATAAATAATTGAAATAATATAAAAAATAATAATTGCCTAAAGTAGTACGGCTATAGAAACATTACTGCTTATAAAATAAATGATGTAGATAAGATACAAACTATATCTCCAATATTAAAAAAAGGCAATTGCGACAATGTGGTGTAAAATTATATTAAAAATAAGATTTATTAGTTCTTATGTTATAAGAAATAAATTTGTTTTTCATATATATATAAAAATGTGTGGGTCTATATTTTTTCTCTTTTTCTCACATGTGGGCCTCACACACTTTTATAAATGTGTAGGAGATAATTTTTATCCGAAAATCTTGATTTTCAGAATTATAATTTTTACATTCAGTTTATGATAATATCCGAAAATTAAAAATTTAGAAAAATTTAATTTTCCAAAAATCTTAAAAAATACCGCGTACCAAATGCCTCCTTAGGGGATCAAGAGTTTGGTGTGGGTTGCCAGGATAAATGTGAGGGTGCACTCCAACTCTAAATCAGTGTCTGATCAACGAATTTAAGTTAAGATGGATTAGATTATGATATTTGGGCTTCAAGCCTCTATTATATATTTATATAATTGTTGATTGTTCTGCTTATAGATTGACAACATTTAATTTCATTAATGGATAAAAATAGCTATTGCAAGCTATTTTATGTGCGAAATGTCTACTTGTGGAGTATGCTTTCTAAGTGTAGCTAGAACTAAATATCTGTGCATTGACTATTAGGATAATTGTAAAATTTTGAACTTTTTTTTTTTTTGGTATCCAAATTTTGAACTATTAATACCATAGTTATGTGTCTGCAAGAATGCAGGATGAACATGTTTCCTTAATTTTAAACTCTTAGTTGTTGGGCTTCTTAGATTATCCCTGGATTTAGTTTTATATCTCGTATGTGCTAGGTCAGGCTCAAATTATATATAAAAGTTGGAAAAAAGTACTCTTATACTACATGTCATGACTTTCTCTTTTACACACTTTTTGATAATTGTGCCATTTTTTTTTTCAGGTGGTGGAACCCACAAATTTGTCTCTATGACATGAGATAATTTATCTCCTTTAACATGAGATTAATAAAATTCATAAAAAAAAATTACCAAAAAAAAAAAATTATATATAAAAGTTAGTACTACTTTATTCGGGTTTAAGAGGAGAGGGCTAACCATTTATGTGGTGTTTAGGAAATGTTTTTCAAAGGGTTTAACTTCTTTTAAAATTTATAAGTAAATGTCTTAATTAATATTGTACCGTTAGTTTTTAACTTTTTGCACAATGGTTTATAATGCTTTTAGATATGAACTGTGATGTTATCGTTAGAGCCTTGGCGTTTTTAGTTATGGACTCAATTATCAGCTTTAATAATTGATTGGGTGACACTATTATTAAAAAAAGAAAAACACTATACACGTATATAATCACAAGTCATCTCAGTTTTATTTGACGTAAGATTTTTATTAAATGCTAAATGAGGTTTTTTACGTTATTGACCTTGCAGAATTGATCATGGTACACTGTGAAAGCATTAGATAAGTCCAAAGGCACAGAGATAGTCGTTTGTCTTGGTTTACAAGTGATCCTTCTTATTTAGTCAGAGAAAGAGATGATGATAAGGCACTTTTTTATATTCGTTTTATATTTTTATGTACATTTAGAAAAGATTTTTATCAAAAGCCAAAAAAATGGTTAAGAGAATTGTCTTGTATTCAGTTTCATCATAATCTCTCACCTTTTACTTTGTCTGTTTCACAACTGAAACACTGAAGGTGGTCCAATTCTTCTTCCTTCTTCCTTTCTCCGCTTCTCTCTCTCTCACAGGTGTCTCTAACTATGTGAATGCTCTTGCTTTGGATAATTTGGGCTCAGTGTCTGATTCATTGTTTGCAGCTAGAATTGTTTATTCAAGAGTATTTTCTTCATTAGGTAAATTATTGTCTTTCCTTTTCTGGGTGCGGTTTTTTTTTTTTTGCTATGTGACTTTCCCTGTTGATGTGAGTTTGGTGGCAGTCAAATTTTATCAATTTAGTTCTGATATGAGTCTGGTCATGAAACTTGCAACTCCCAAACTTCCTTCTTGTCCCATGTTTTCCCCTAAGTTGGGTCTTAATATTTAGTATGAATATTGGGAAGGTATTGAGGTATTTCTTATTCTTTATTTTTTCTTTTCTCAAACATAGATATATCCTGTCTTGAATTATTACATCTCTGCTTATCCACAAAGATGATGAAGATGGTCAACTAATTGCTCAAATAAGATCATTGTCGTTTCTTTTGTTAAATAGTAGTCTGGATAGATCTCAGCTTAGAGTTGGTTATATATTGTATTTAGGGATGCGTGTGTTGCCTGAATGTTTTTGGTACTTAGATTCTTGGTACCACGTGCTTAATTGTCTTTATTCTTTTTGTCAGTCTCTCGACTGAATTCTTCATTTTCATTCTTAAAGGGACACAAAAGTGACCCTTTGTCCTAAAACTCCTGTCAATCTACTAATTTTTTGAGCCATTAAAGCATTGTGGCCGCCAGCCTCCAATGCCCTTAAATTTTGCTTGATGCATACTTAAAATGAGAGGAATTTGGTGAAAAGGACATGATAATTGAGAAATATAAAACTCATTCTTCGGTTAGCAAGTATAGATTTGGTATCCTGTAAGTATTTCTACCCTCTAATGGCATTGGAATGGAGTGCGCTTTGTTCTACTCCACAATGCAAAGAACTTGCACTGCACTATTATCAGATTTTAATTAAAAATCACATGACAGAAGTATACTTCTTTTTGTTAATAGTGGCCATGTATTAGACTAATATTGGGGGCAACAATTGCATCAATGGTTGCATTGACCACAGTCATTGATCTACAATTACTGAGTTCTTCCAAATTTTGAGTTCTATGGTAGTTGCAGAATCCAATAAAATTTTCCATGGATAGATTGAATAGTTTTTGTGATATGAGCACATACATCTAAAGCTCCTCAATGCGAACACCTACAGTTTGGGGCACAACCTCGAAAGTGAAATTTTAGCATTGAAAAACTTTCTTTTACATGTGATTCTGGCATCTTTATATCTATACTTTTGACCATGTTGAAATTGAATAGTAAGAGTTTATAATAATATGTTGAGGTTTAATATTTGAAGTATGTTTTTCCTGCCCTTGTATGTACCAAGAATGGCACCACTTACTAATAGGTCAGGTTTGTTCCCAGCAGATGTATTACTTTTGAAGGAAGCCCTTCAGTTTCGACCATGACAACTAATCTATCACTTTCTCCTGGAATTCATAAAGAAGAAAAAGTTCTCTCTGAGGTGACTTTCTGAAACTAGCATTCCTTATTATGCTTCAGGTTTTGTAAAAATATTTTAATAGACATCCTTAACTTTCAACTTTGCGGCATGTTCAGATTGGGAATTCTGAAAAGCAGTTGTGGGCATTGATCCATTCTAAAGGCCTTTTGCACTCCGATGTTCAAGACTTGTACCGCAAGGTCCGGTCTAGTTATGAGAGAATAATATTGAACAATCACTTGCTTTCAGAACTTCAGGATGTTGAATATTCTTTGTGGAAGCTCCACTATAAGCATATTGATGAATTTCGCAAAATAATAAAGAAAAACTCCGGTAATGTGGAGCGCAAAAAATCAGGAATGCTGCAAGATGATGTTGTGCCGAGAAACAATGGCGATCATTTTTTGTTATTTAAGTTATTTCTCTCAGAAGCTATTGAGTTTTACCAAACTCTGATTGTAAAACTTAGAAAACAATATGGAGTGCCAGAAGAGGCCTTGTTTTATAAGAAGGGTTGGATTTCTACTTCAGGTGAACCAGATGCGATGCTGAAATGCCAATATTTATGTCATCGTTGCTTAGTTTGTATGGGGGATCTTGCCAGGTACAAACAACAATGTGAAAACCCTGATATTCAAAATCATAATTGGGCAGTTGCTGCCAGCCATTACTTGGAAGCAACAAGGATTTGGCCAGATAGTGGGAACCCACAAAATCAGGTAATTGTTTCTTATCTGTTGCATAAGAGGAACTTTTATACTGTACTTTTTTTTTTTTCCGAATGACAGTAACCTATCTCATTTACAGTTGGCTGTACTGGCAACATATGTTGGTGATGAATTTCTTACTCTGTACCACTGTGTAAGAAGTTTAGCAGTTAAAGAACCTTTTCCTGATGCCTGGAACAATCTCATCTTGTTGTTTGAAAAGGTAATATGATATTGAGGCTCTTTAATAAACTAAATTTTATTCTATCAATATGTTTAATGTTTCTAAGCTTCTCAAGTTCCATCTCCTCAAGTGTCTCTTATGATCTTGCAGAACAGATCATCTCAGCTGCAATATGTTTCCAGTGAAGTCTGCTTTGATTTCATAAAACCTTGTGGAAGAAAAGGTGAAGAGACCAAGGCACAACTGAAAGATGATAGCTCAAACTGCAAAAAAATCGAAGGCGAAAGTAATCATTTTACAGACACAAAGTTATGGTCTCTTATGGTCAGAACAATAAGTTTCCTCTTCATAACATCAAGGTATACCTTGGATTTGTTTTATTTTGTTCTACAATTTTCTTGGCATTTTGTCTTGCCTTTTTACTGTTTGAATTCCCTCTTGTAGTCAAATTTAGTCATGCATATTCACTGTATCTTTTTTTTTTTTTTTGGATACATGTTCACTGTATCTTTGAATAGCATTTCTTCTTGAGCACATCTGTAGAGTTAATAGTTAATAACTATTTTACAATGTAGGGTTTCTAGTTGCCTTAAAGCAGTTAATATTTACACTTTGTCGTGTGTGGATACATTTTTTTGTTGTGAGCATGATACAAGAGCTTTTATATACCACCTCTGCCTCTAAAAGATGATAGTGATGCCAAGGTTCTAACTACACTGATTATTTCTGCATGTATCTAACTTATAAATGAAAGAGAGAAAATAAAAGAAAAGTATTTTATTTGAAGGCAGTCCAAAACATTTAGAAGTCTATATGTTTTTCTGAATTATGAGCTGGTTTAGAGGTTTAAAGAAGAATCTGATTATGGGCCTGTACTTCTGAAACACTTGTGGCAGATAAACTGCACAGACAAATAAACTTGTAGTTGAATTCATGGTCCTGAAGATTTTAATGATTGTGGTCACAATGACATACATTTTTCAATATATTTTCTCTCATTTGTTTTGGGTGAAGTAATATTTCTGCATACCACCATGATGCATTTACACTGGATTCTTTAAAATGACTTTAGTTTACTTGGTAAAAAGACTTCTAGCAATGCCTATACAGCTTTAGGTCATTTATACATGAGCGAATGTCTACGCATATATTAGCGGCAGGAAATTGAAAGAAGCAAGTTCACTGTTAACTGTTAATTATATTGAGGATTAAACATAGACATTGGTTTACATATTATGCTAGTATAGGGTATAATATATTTATTCAAGGTAGCAACATCATACGCCAGAGAACCCTACTTTGTTAGTTTATGGCAGACTGTGTCAGACCAAATTGTTTGACACACAAAATTCCTCATAACATGCAGATTAATGCATACGTTTCTATAATATTTGTTCTGAACTTCTGATGTTGTTTACCCTTTATCTCCTGAAGCAGTTTAGAGGACTTCTCTATTGCATTGACATCTACAATTGAAGAGTTAGATAAAATGATGGAGCTAGAAGATATAGAACTAAAGACGATGTTGGAATCCTATAATCAAATGGGTTTAGCCAGAAGAGGTCCTTTCCGAGCCATACAAGCAGTTTCTATTCTCATCTTTTCCCTAAAGAATCTAATTGATAAACTTGAAAAAAATGAATCAGAAGACAAAAATGATAGGCAGTTGACGCAGCTGGCATTAGTTGCCGCATTCAGCTTCATGGGACGTTTTGTTGAAAGATGCCTAAAGGCTAGTTCGTTGAATGATTGCCCCTTATTGGCTTCTGTGCTTGTTTTTGTGGAGTGGGGTTCAAGCATACTTGACGCAACTGAAGAATGTGCTACTGATCAAAAGAGTAGAAGAGCCATTTCTTACTTTTTTCATGTGTTTGTTGAACTTCTAAATCAACTAAATGACAATAGGAAGGAAACCAAGAAGCTTCTTGATCGTACCCCTCTATGGGAGGATTATGAGTTGAGGGGCTTTGTACCGGTAGCTTGTTCACATTTCTCATTAGATTTCTGTGGTAAGTGGGAACACAGTGACAATTCTGAAAGTGGAATTGAATTGCGTACTGAGCGCATCTTAGAAGCAGGAATGAAAATTGCAAGCAGATCAAATGATTTGCAAAAGTGGATTACATATGATAAGTTAGAAAAAAAGTTTTATGTGGCTAGATCAAATGAAGATCATGGCAAGAAAGAAACAGAAAATGTGGAGTCCAATGGTAATAGTACAAGAGGGGAAGAGCAGAATCAGCAAATTAGCAAAAACCCAGGGGAACATGGCAAATGGATGAGAGAGGATAATCCGAGTAGCTCCAGCACCAATGGAAAATCTTTTGCTGTAGAAGAAGAAGAAGTTATTCTCTTCAGGCCTCTCACAAGGTATAATTCTGCACCATCCTACCCCTCTATCTCCACTAACGAGCGGATGTCACCAAAGGACAAGGATGACCAAAGCTTAATGTCTGATGATTGTTTGCGCCGCGCTTCATCTCTGCTTATGGAACAAAACCCTGCTCAAACTCAAAGTGATCCATGGGAATTCCATGCCAACACTTTGGATTTCAGGAGTGACAAAACATTCAAGCAGCAAGAACCTTCAACAAAGGAATCAAATTCACACACTTTTTTTGAAGCACCAATCTCTGCTGGCCCTCCCTCGCTCAATGCTTGGGTCCTTGGTAGAGGAAGTTTGAGCAACAACAGAAATAATGGGACAAATGGTCTTATTAGTGAGCACAGGTTGCAGCCCATTGAGGAAATAGCTTCTTCATCATTGGAAGGTCTTTCCATCAATAAAACTGAGAATTCAGTCATCAGTTCAGTGGATAAATCTTCAAACTTCAGTCCCTCTTCTGCTACATATTCTGTTCCAGTACCTTCTGCTCCATTGTTGCCTGATAATGCTGCCTGGTTTACTAATGTACCACCTAGTTTTTCTGCTCCATTATTTCCAGACAACTCAACACCAGTAAGTGGTTATTCAGATTGGAGTTCTACTCAAGGACAACGCGAATATGATCCTAGTTTTCCAGTTTTTTCCAGTGGATACCCACCTCCTGGCAGAATGACTTCTTCAGAATGGCTGCGTTGGTACAGAGAGAATTACAAACCTGAGTGGACCAATAATCATATGCAGCCTACTCATTTGAATACTCCTGCTCCTGGAAATCATGAAAACTTCCTCTATCATGATACTTACAGGTTTAACCATTTTGATAGATGGGGCAATCCTTTGTCTTCTAACCAGTACATATATGTGGAGCCCCCAGGGCCTCCACCATTGCAGCCAGGTTTTCTCTCAGCTTTTGGTGCAGGTGAACACAAAGCCAGTCTCTTAAACAATTTTCAAAGACCAAGCCCTTATGTGCATGGTGCTGTGACAGACATGAGAAATGAACCACAGTCTCTGCTTGAGTACTTGAAGGAGAAGGAATGGCGACTCCAGCGAGATCCTAACCTCAGAGGGCCTACTTTCATGGGAAATTAGAACTTCTCATCTGTAACCTTTGTTCCATGGACCATTTCATAATTGTACACCTTGGTGTGCACTTTGGTTCCATATGAAGCATTGAGCTGCATAAATGTGTGTACATATTGATGTTTCAGTCATTTCCTAAATGAATTGAGGAATTCCAAAGAAAGTGGATGAAATATCCTCTATTCAGCCTTCTATATAGTGGAAATCCACACTTTTATTCTTAGTACAACTATTATAGGATATGCATTTAAAATATGTAGAGTTGAAATTAGAAGAAGAAATCCTCGTGGATAAATGATTGGTGAAAATAAGATTGCTAGCCATGGTTGGTGATATATATGAGATTATATTCGGTAAGATGAAAGTTTTAAAGGTTTATGATGCCAGATTTATGATTGAGAATGTTGGAAAAGCGATTTGAGTGTCTTTAAAATGAAAACACTTTAAATTTCAATGGGTTAAGATTACAATATATTTTAAAATATTTAAATTTTAATTTGTTAAGATTATGAGATATTTTAAATTAAATTAATAATAAAAACATTCTTAGTTGCTCACTTTAAAAGAAAATTCAATTTAGAGGAACTTTAGTCAAATATGTTATAACCTAAAATTACTGCTTATGAGAGCAAGGAAAAAGTTCTCACCTTTTCTTTCGCAGACAAAAAAAAGGGTGGCCATTTTTTAGCAAATGCAAAGGCGAAGAAGGAAAGCACAAACTTCGAGTGTTTTCATTCGATTTCCACTAAGTTTTGACTTTTTTTTAGGATAAGGTTATATTTACAAATTTTTTATTTACAAGCTTTTACAAACTACACTAGATATGATCAGTCATTCTTCAATTAAGAGTGTATGACCGGTCATACTTAGTGTAATTTGTAAAAAAAAATTATAAATGGGTCATTCTCTTTTTTTTTAATTTCAAGGTCATACTTAGTGTAATTTGTAAAAAAAAATTATAAATGGGTCATTCTTTTTTTTTTTTAATTTCATGGTCCTACTTGGATTAGTTTAAAGTTGATTTATTTTTGAGTAAAGTTGGGTCACTAACAAAAAATACAATTTCTATATTTTTTGAGTCTATGCGATGTGTATTGAAGTGTTAGGAAATGTCAGAATGTCAAAGAGTATTAAACATGTTATGTCAGATTTTTTAAGTGTTCGGAGGCTCTTAAAATTGATAGGGTGATATGAAATTTTCAAATATTTTTATCAAAGATTGCGGTCCTATTTTTATCACAATAACGTTCGTGTGGATGCTATTGACATGAAGGAAGGTTTTTTTAGTGATTTTAATAGTTATAACAGCAGCAACCATGATGGATTGGTGTTGCTGGTGATTGTGGACAGTAAACGGAACTGTAGTATTTTGGGGGAAAAAATAAATTTATTTCATAATTTTTGTAAAAGGAACTAATATATCAAATATCTGTGCCACTTGATGGAGAATTTTTAAAGTGAACCGGGTGTATTTTTATTGGGTGTTCTATTTTCTCAAAATAAAAAAAAATTATGATATTTTTATTTATATCATTTTGTTTATTTATTTTTATATCCTCATTTTTTTCTACTTTTGAAAAAAGTGCATATGTGCCCGAACCACAGTAACTTTTCTCCGCTTGATGGTCTTCATTATTGCTCTTAGCCTCTTATACCATGTTTGAGATTTTGAATTCATATAAAGCAAATTACCAATTAGCCATCACAATTATCATCAGCTATTATAACGATGCCACCACCACCCATTGTTATTATCACCCACAATTGCTATTAACATCATTTATTCTCACTAGCCAATACGGATATGCATGGATAGGTTCAGAGCTCGTTTGGATGAGCTTTTTTTCCTTCAAAAGTTACTTTTTTTTTTGAAAAAAAGCACTTCTCATTTTTAGTTCATTTAGATGTCTACTTTTAAAAAAAGCAGAAGTCACAAAAAAAGTCAAAAACTTATTTTTTTCAGAAGTTAAAATTTTTAACTTCTCCAAAAAGCAGAAGTCAAAAGCCAAATATTTTTTTTCAAAAACTAAATATTTTTATAAAAATATAAATAGCTTTAACTTTTGTAAAAAACACTTTTAAAATAAGGAAGAGATAAAAGTCACTTTTTTTAAAAGATGAAACAAACAGGCACTCAGTAAGAGAAGTGAACTCATCCTAAATAATTCGATAATATAATTTGGATTTTTGAACTGAACCTGTTTAGATTTTATTCATTTGGTTATGTTATGTTAAAATCGGTTGATAACAGGCTCAGAATTGATTTTATCTCAAATCCAATTTAAAACCAACTTTTACCAGGCAGAAACCCCAAATTCAGAAAACATCACAGCAACCATTACAACAATGATCCTGACCTCTTCAAAACTTCAAAACAGCAATCAACTTTGTCGCTGTTGACCTCTTGCCACCTCTGATAAAGATCTAAAGTGAAGTATGACCACTGTTCTGTCTCTCTCTTTTGTCTACAAATCCTAACTAAGACTGTGTAATCTAGACATTAAAACGTGGAAGGGTCTACAACTTAGGGGAGGCAATTGGATCATGAGTTAAGAGATGGGAACAAGCCTTTTATTATAATTTAAAACGGTTCACTTATGGATAACCACATTTATTTATTTATTTAAGGTTGAATAACTGATCCATTTTCAAAAATGAAAAACAGTTTGATTTAAAACTGTTTAAAGAAAAAATCGGTTTTTTAGTTATGGATCGGACCAGTTAAGGCTTGGTTTGGTTTAATTGGTTATTTTGAACACCCCTGCTAGCCAACAGCCATCAATTTTAACAAATAATGTAAAACTTAAAAAATTTATTTGGTGAGGGTATATTTTTTTTATTTTTGAAAATTCTGTAAATTATTTATGTATTTTAATGTATTTAATTTTCAAGTATGACTTTTAATTTTTTTGAATAATTTCAAGTAAGAACAAATGTGTAAATAAATAAAAAATAGTTTAAAAATCAATTTTAAAAAATGATATAAAATTATGTTAAAAAAGATATTTTTGTCTATCTATATCATATAATGACATTATATGATTATCTCAAATACCGGATAGAATAATATTATCCTATTATACTATTTATCTAGTGCATATAATGTCATTCTGTACAAAAAAATTATAAAAATTTAAGAACTATAAAAATGAAAATTTTAAATTAGTACATAAGAAAGAATTTAAACTTTCATTTTTTTTATTGCAAGAGTGTAATTAACACAAATACTTGAAAAAAATAATTATTTATATAAAATGCTGATAGTTAGAGGTGAATAACTGGGCTCGACTTGGAGGGCTGGCTCGCCAATATATTTTTATAATTCAATTGAAATTTAATTTTTCTTCTTTTATAATTAAATTACTAAATCTGAGTTCACACTACATGGCATATAAAAACTTTCATTATTTGGTAAATTCGAAAAAAAAAATCTTTTAAAAATTGATTTTTTTTTTTTAAAATCGAAAAATAAATGACCATTTGTGGTGGCAGATATATAAAGGAGAGTTCAATGTTGGAAACTTCGCTGATGTTTCACTCTCTGCTTAATTCTGAAAATTGTGTTCGGCATATAAAAACTTTCCTTCTTTGGTAAATTGGAAAAAGAATTTCTTTTAAAAATTGAATTATTTTTTAAATAGAAAAATAAATGACCATTTGTGGTGGCAGACAAGGCATTGAATGTCACACTGTCCATCACATTGGAAAAGAGTTCAGCATTTAATATTTATGCAGTGACAAAATATATATATAATAAATTTTAATTTAATATAAAATTATAGATTAAACAATAAAATATTTAAAATTATAAAAATACATTTATAGTCGATAAAAATTATTTAAAATTTCAAATTTAAAAGAAAAAATAAGAAATGGCATAATTTATACTTTACTAAAAATAAATACATGTTGTTATCAAAAAAAAATAAAATAAATAAATACATGTATAACCAATTAAAATAATATACATGTATTTTTAAAAAAATATTTAACATAAAATTTTTAAATATGCATGTATAACCATTTAAAAAAAATATAAAAATCATAAATAAAAATAGAAAAAAATTATATAAAAAATATGTATAATTAATATAAAAAGTTTTAAATTTTAAATTTAAATAAAAAATAACGTCTGTCATTCTGTAAAAAAAAATATTAAAATTTAAGAACTATAAAAATGAAAATTGTAATTTAGTACATAAGAAAGAAATTAAACTTTCATTTTTTTATTGCAAAAGTATAATTAACACAAATACATGCAAAAAATAATTATTTATATAAAATGCTGACAGTTAGAGGTGAAAAACTGGGCTCGACCTGGAGGGCCGGCCCGCCAATATATTTTTATAATTCAATTGAAATTTTATTTTTCTTCTTTTATAATTAAATTACTAAATCTGATTTCAATTTTTGTAAATATAAATTTGTGAAATTCCAAAGACTAACGACACTAATCCTTGCAAAAAAAATTTATTTATATAAAATGCTGACAGTTAGAGGCCAAAAACAGGGCTCGGCCCGGAGGGCCGGCCCGCTAATATATTTTTATAATTCAACTAAAATTTTATTCTTCTTCTTTTATAATTAAATTACTAAATCTGATTTCAATTTTTGTAAATACGAATTTGTGAAATTTCAAAGACTAACGACACTAATCCTTGCAAAAAAAATTATTTATATAAAATGCTGACAGTTAGAGTAGATAACTGGGTTCGGCCCGGAGGGCCGGCCCGCTAATATATTTTTATAATTCAACTAAAATTTTATCATTCTTCTTTTATAATTAAATTACTAAATCTGATTTCAATTTTTGTAAATATAAATCTGATTTCAAAGACTAATGACACAAATTCTTGCAAAAACATAATTATTTATTATTATTTTATAAATTTGATTGTAGTAAATGAAAGTTCATCTCTGAGATAAAATATAAAATCCTAGACGCAACTATAAAAATCTTTTTTGTGGATAAATATAAAAACTTTTTACATGCTGATAGCTAGAGGTGGAAAACTGGACTCGACCCGGAGGGCCGACCCACAAACACAATTTTATAATTAAATTAAAATTTCATCCTTCTTCTTTTATAATTATTTTCCTAAATCTGATTTTTATTTTTGTAAATACAAATTTGTAAAATTCCAAATACTAACGACACAAATTCTTGCAAATAATAATTATTTATTTTTTAAAATGTGATTGTAATAAATGAAAGTCTATCTCAAAGATTATT